CTGGATTCAAATCAATGAAATGACAGTTCCTGTCCCACAAGGTTCTTAAGGTCAAGAGTTTTGACCTTAGGCTTAGTCTTGACCTCAGATTAAGTTCACTACACCATCACAGGGACACATAGAATGAAACAATCATTCATTCTCTCCATCACACTTAGGAACTATTTAGACTTGCCAGTTAATCTAACATGTATGATTTTGGTGTTGAGAGAAAACCGTAGTACCTGGAGAAAACACGTGTGTGCTTTAACTCTAGAATTACTGTTTTTGACACCAGTGTCAAATAATTACATGTTTACTCCCTCAGTAGCTGATACAGCTTTTGACGCCTGGGTCTTGAATGGAGTACATTCACTATGTGAGCTCCATGTTGATGGTAAATTTTGCCTCCTTTGAGCAGCTGGTAGCTGTTTTTTCAGATATTTGCAGCTGAGGCATTTTGTGAGCTCTAACTCTGATTGTTTCCTTTGTACCCATCTAAACATTTTGTGGTTAAGATTTTGGAGTACAGTTCTGATACAAAGGGGGCCCTCAGCAAGATCTATACACTGCTCAGTACATACGATGAGACCAGTTTGGACTCCATTAAATTGAAATGGGAAACGGACTTGGAGGAATCCATATCAAACTCAATCTGACAAAGGATCATTCAGAACATTTACTCATCTTCGGTCCGCTTGAGACAAGCTGTAATTCAATTAGAGTTAGTGTCCAAGCTGCACTGGTCCAAAGACAAACTGTCCAAGATCAAAGCCGACCTGGATCCTGCATGTAATCATTGTCAACAAACTCCAGCTACACTCTTACATGCACTCTGGACCTGTCCCAAACTGCAGACCTGTTAGCAATCTATTTTTGATGCCTTCTGTTATGTGTGTAAAAACTGTTCACCCATCACCGTTCATCTCACTGTTTGGGTGGTCCCTGTGGATACGTCCTTCAGCAAGTACGAGAAGAATGTGATTGTTTTTGGCTCTCTTCATGCCAGGAGACTTGTTTTGTGCGGTTGGAAGGACCCACACACCCCAAGCATATGAACATTGGATAAGAGAAGTCATCATAGTCATCTGGAAAATATCAGATATACCCTGAATGTTTCTGTAAAAGGTTTTGGGACACTTGGCAACCTTTTGTGTCATATGTTGAAAACATGTCAATGCCTGCTTATGTTATTTGTGTATGTGTGACTGATCCAGTGTGGGTGGGAGTGGATTTTGTTCTGTGTTCTATTTTCTTTGCGTTTGTGCAAAAAACAAAACAAAAAACTTAATAAAAAGACTTTGATTTAAAAAAAAAAACGAACAAAAAAACCCATGTGTGCACAGGGCGCAGCACGAGATCTGAATCCAGGACCGTGTTGGCTAACCACGGCTCTGCTGCACGACTCCTTTCTGTTTGTGATTCAGTAGAATCTCATGACTCTTAAGAATTTGAGAGCGCTAAGCTGTAATTTACAAAAACCCGTGAGTCACAAAAGTTCTGGAATGTTAAGAATTTTACTGCACAGCAAATACATTCTGGTTTAATTTGTTTCTTTTAAACAGCGTTTATTTTTGCTCATGTTCTATAAAGTGTGTAATTTGCTCTGTGGTTGTCAGACTTGTCGTCTTTAAACGCTCGAGATTGCTTGAGCGAAGAAACATCTATTCATGAGACGGCGACCAGAGAAGAAATGTGTCAGCCTGCACGTAAAGGTGCACCGTCTTCAAAAACTGAGACCTGCTTTTGTGAAAGTTGTTTAATAATTCAACGTGGCCTTAACGCATTTCATTTCAAGTGCCCAGATGGTATTTTTATTAGGCAGATGCTCCTCACTTGAAAGACTTGCATATTTTCAGAAAGTGGCGATGCAACTTTGAGCCAGGCTTCTTCTAATTCAGCAAAACAAGAATGTGTGTGTTCACTGGAGCAGAAAAGGATGCTGTATATTTGTATTTATGTATTTCTATATAAAAAGGCAATATATGTGACTGCTGTCAGAAGGAAACATCCAGCCCTGGTCTGCTTTATGATCCGTGTGTTTCTCTTTTTATCAGGTTCAAAGTAAATACGACAAATGTGAGAATTACGGCGAAGCTCTTTAGGACATAGCACTCATCACTCTTTGTCATTTTCTTTCTGGGAGCTTCCCTCCATCTGAAGTCTGTTTCCTGTCAACAGTTGGTCCCATGTGAGGAAATGTGACATTACTTATTAAGAGTCATTGTTTAGTGTACTGAGAGAGTTTAAAGCCTTGTCACACAGTGGCTGTGCCAAGAGTTCCAGGATATAATGAAAGAAAAAGCACAATGCCTGGAAGAAAGATGAGTGCAATAGTTTTTCTTTTTCCTTCACATTTCTGACCTTAAAAAAATTCCACCCTGGACAGAAACACCCACTGAGCTGCAGAGATCTCACATAGAAGTATTTCCTAATTATCACCCTTAAGCTGTTTGTTTGGAAGAGCATGTTTAAAGGAAAAAGACTGAGGGGGAAAAAAAACTGTTCAGAAATGTTTTTTATTTTGCTAATATTGAAGGAGATTACTGTGAACATGAAGCAGTGAAGTGAACAGCAGAGTCAGAGGCCGACTGTTGACTGACACAGCAACGTTGTCACACTCCTTTTGATGGGATTAAATTGTCAGGACTTCTCAGATATGGAAATTAAGGCACTGATCTGGGACTTTGAAAATGTCAACATTATTAAATTGTTGGACCGGTCAAAGCAGTTAAAGGCACAGTACTAACTTCTCTCAATCAGTTTTTATATACAATTACCATACTTACGTTGCACCGCCGTATAAGTCACATCAGTCCAAAAATGTCTAATAAAGTGGAAAAAAAACAACCCATAAATAAGTCGCATCTATTACGTGTCACTGCTGACCATCCAGAAATGTGGGCCGGTGTTGAGCCAAAAATCAATTGGCTGCCAAATGGCAGCCTCGGGATTGTGTACAGGAGGATTTTAACAAGAATTTAACAAGATTAACACGAAAGCAATTGCTTGTTTGCTTGAAATTATAGCAAAGGTGTGTCTCAGTTGAACTTTTCCTTAATAAATGCACTTTAATGGTGAAATCAGCTGCGTTTCGCCTGGGCAGCGCTGTGAAATGCAGCTGATTTCATGTTTGAGTTCCAGAGCGAGACAAAGTTGGCTTTGTATGGCAAGCCAAGTGTCTCATTAATAGCCACTTTTACCTATTAATGAGACACTTGGCTAGCCATATTACTCAAGCACCCTCTAGCGGCTGAAAATGATAGTGTTCAATATTTTCCATATCAGAATGAATGAAATCATCAGATCTCAGCAAAAAATTGGTTTATAAATATGGGTGAAAAACTTAAATAAGTCGCTTGGTCGTATAAGTCGCAGTGCATGCTATTGTATGCAAAAAGGTGCGGCTTATACCGCAAAAAATACGGTAACCCCTCAGCCTCTCCAATAAGGTCTATTCAAAGGGTGCATGTTCCAAGTCCAGCATGTCCATGTTCTTGGAGGTACACTGTGAGGAGTGGGAGGATGGGGGCTCCATAAGCATGAACTGGGGTTTCATTGTTATGGGTCAGTCCCTATACAAGCTGTGCAAGAGCTTGATTTGCATCACCGCCGCGGTAAGTTGGACCCCTTCAGGGTAGGAGTCTGATTCTGCAAGTGCTGCCTGTTGTCACAAATTCTGTTCATAACTTGCATGAACAGAACATCTCAGTGCAGGGTATGGTCTGGTGGTCTCTGCAGCACTCCATCTCTGCTATTTGCAGGTGATATGGTCCTAGTGGCATCATTGTGCAGTTATCTGCAGCCCAAGCAACTAAGATGAAGATCAGCAAATCTGAGGCCATGGTCCTCAGCTGGAAAAGGGTGGCTCACCCTCTCAGGGACGGAAGTGAGGTACTGTTCCAAGTGGAGGAGTCTGGGTATCTCAGGGTTTTGTTTACAAATGAGGGAACATTTATAAAACTGCATTTATTAAAACCAAACTCACTCTTTGAAGAGCTATTGGCAAATTTGTGTGTTGCCAAATCCAAATGACTTAGAAATTGATGTTAGCAGGAATAATATGAAATATTGTGAATTATTGTAAAAGTTCTGCAGGACGTGCTTCTGGCTGCAGCACAAGTGCTACAGCTAGCTGCTGCTTCCATGATCCTGTTTTACATCTAACCATAATTGTATGTAAATAATCATGTAATGTGATACCAACTCCATGTAACTGTCAAAAATAGTGTTTGCATGAACATCTCCATTTTTGAGACTGGAGTTGGCATAAATCCCAGTTTTCCCTCCTTTTGGACTAACCATTAACTCATCAATAGGATCGGTTAGACTCTGGTTCTGTAAACAGAGGTCATTCAAAGAGCTATCTATAACAGGTAAGATGATAACTGTTCATAAACTTCCACAGAAGCCCACTTCAAAACTTCTGAACTACTGCTTTAAAATTTCAAGGATGAAAAGATTCCACAGCATCAAACTAACATTTATAATTTATTTATAATCAAATGAAGTGTGTGGGTGGGAACTTGACGGTCCCACAGGGTTACATTGTTACATCGTGCTTTATTTTATTTGAACCTTTCATTCACAACCAGGAGTCCTCTCTGCCAGTCTTTTATGGCGGCAGCTTTAATAAAAAGTTATTAACTCGGCAGCTCTTGCTTTTACCTCTCCCCTGGATCAGGCAGAGAGGGGGAACTGGGGTGTGAAATAGACTCCAGTTTAGCTGATGGACTCGTGAAAGGGACTCGGATGGTTGCCTGTCACTCACACACCCCAACCTCTGCGCCACCTGAACGATTAAAAAAAAAAAAAAAAAACATGACTCTAAAGAAAGCGTTTTCCGACCAATAGATCCCTGAAGTGGCATCATCATCACCATCATCCTCTTCATCATGACGGGGAGTTCTCGCGCCGCCGCGGGGTGGGCGGGGTCGTAGTGACGCCGCCGTCCAATGGGCTGCCTCCTCCGGCCGGAGCGCAGCATCTCTCCGGATCAGCGGCACTTTTGCGCCAGACACAAGTAGGGACGTTGTCTTACTCAGCAAGTGGAGCCAGAGAAACACGGGGATTATCTGCCGGAAGAAGCTCGTTTTTCCCCTCCTCTCCTTCTCTTCTTCTTTTTTTCTTTTTTCTTTTTTCTTTTCTTCTTGGAACCCGCGGAGATGGACGGCGGCTGCGTCCTCCTGCTGTGCACCTTACTTGTGGGCGCATCCTCGGTAAGATGAGTTCATCCCTCCGCGCGTGCTCGGCTCTGAGCGGCGGAAGAAGTGCTGCACTGCTGTAGTGCTCACTCAGGCTCTGCAGGCAGGCAGTGCGCTGCAGGAGGAGCACTCCGGAGTGGCCGTGAACGCCTCACTTTGCCCCTCTCCTGCAGCATGATGGGTGCACAGAACATAAATGTTTTTCTTTGCTTTGCTGTGATGAAAAAAAAAAATAGAAAGTCCTCAGTCTGAGTGTTTCCTGCCATCCTCTCTGCTCCAGATGAACTGCAGTGCATGACTGCAGTGAACAGAGCTCTCTGTTGTCTGGTTAACTTCCTTTGCACTGACTCTGCTGCTTTTAGATTGCAGGGATTATGCTCAGTTTGCTTATGGAAGAATAATTCAATAAAGTGAGTGGTTTACCTATTCCTCTGCAAACTCATGAAAGAAGGAGGCTTCAATATGGAGTAAAGTTAATATGAATAATCCAGCTGATTGGTGCTGAGTGACTGATGTTTCACTTCATGTCTTGTAGTTTGTTGTGTGAACAATGAGCCGATGTTTGACTCGTATGTGTCTTTAGCTCCAGGTGAGGGGTTCCACACTGTCCGATCACTCATCAGCTCCTAAATGATCTCAGATATCTGCTCGTAACCTCCAGAGTTCATGCTGAAAAGGGTTGTTCTTTCTTTTTTTTTTTTTTTTTTACTCCACAGGGGAGTAGAACAGGCCAGCTGCAGAAGCCTCCTTGTAGACCCGGCTTCTCCCAGAACTTTTACACGGTGATTGTCTCCAGAGACGTGCTGCATGGACAGAGCATCCTCAAAGGTAAGCCTGCTGCTGCTCAGTGCTAATTATTGACTGCGATCGCTTTATTTTTTGTCTTTTCATCTCTGCTCCGTCCTGCCCTCCGTTGTGTTGTGGTACTTTTTGTGTGACTGTGTGTGCTTCTAGTGGGAGAGGCTCCATCACTCCCCAAAAGGTCAGAATGCAATCTAGTTGTGGTCGTGCTCCTCAGACACTTACATCTGATCAGGAGCAGAATTTGGATGAGTTTTGTTTCTGGTTAGAAAGAGAAAAATCTTGCGATGTGATGTGACAGCAGGTGTTTTTAGTTTGATATGAGCTTTCACTGCTGAGTGAACACTCAAACGACTCTGACTGCAGTTAAAGAAAGAGAAATGACTTCTTCCGTGATTAAGCTCTCAGAGCGGACTCATTTAAATAACCGTTGCATGTTGCAGCGTGAAAATGTTTAATGAAGTGTTTGTTGCTGTATATTTTCATTAGTGCGTTTAAAGAGAGTTCAGCTCTGGTTTGGTTCTGCGCTCGCCTGCTTTGTTTCCTTCCAGGTGAGCACTGTGCACCTGCTGTGAGGTTAATGTGAAATGATGCTTCTCCCGAACGTCTCGTCTGTTTTCTGGTGAATCTTTGCTGTAACGGACACACATCCTCCCTCTAGCCTCAATCCTGTGTCCCGATTTGCATAACTGAGTGACGAAGAACACCTTGATCAGTCACTGCAAGTGCTTTTATACCTCACATCACATATTTACATGCTGAGTTATAAAATGATAAAATTGACTTCAAGATGAGGAAAAAGGTACTTGAAGGATTTTTTTTGAGCTTCTGAGCTCTGCAACTTTCTGTTATAAGACATGAGAAGCTTGGAGATGATTAAAACTGGACTGTTTGTTTAGGAGGTTTCCTATTTTATCTCTGTTTTCCTACTAAATGCTCCTCTATTCTTGTGCATTAGAGCTCAGAACAGAGCAGAATAAGGCAAGCTCTCCCCTGACACTTTGCCTTCATAGCCAAATATTTGTCTATTGTTGGGGAGGATAAATGACATTTTTATTGTAGCAGTTGTTTGCAGATTTTCCAGCTGCAAGCGTAACAATTGAATTATTCTGGAGGTTATTTTGTTATTTAAGAGGCCGACAAGGACGGTGCAGACGGTCAGTGGGGAGCCAGTTTGCCCGGAGCAACTCAGAGCTCAAGTTTTGTTTTCCCCGTTTCGAAATGTTCTTAAAGATGTCTGTGCTGATCCAAACAATACTAACAAAGGTAATGTATCCAGGCGTGTGTGCTCCCCCCTGTGTGGATGTGTGCTGCATGCATGTGTGCTTCGTGAGGGATGCTGCTGCTCGCATGTGACACGTCCCACAGCATCTATTAGCTGCTAACTCCTCTATTAGGAAAAATGTCACAGCAGAGCTCAGCTGCATCAATTTGTCTCACCTTACGTCTGGATCGGTCCAGCTTTGATGCTGTATTACCTTCGCTTCCAGTGTCTCTGACTCTTTGTGAAAATCAATCGGAGGTCCGTGCTGTCCTACCTTACTGGTTATTCAAAGAGATCTCGCAGCTTAAGTCCTCCTGCAGTGATTAATGTGCAGCAGCTAAACTTATTGGAGGTCTGTTTTCTATACAGTGGCACACAAAGCCAGGGGAACGTCAGACGCCACAATATGGATAACCCAGAACTCTCACTTTATGAAGGGCCAGGGCTGGGATTGTGGCGGGATGTGGGATGCTCTGAAGCTGCAGAGGAAGTTGCAGGACTGCTGTTGGCTGAAGATGTTGTCTCCCCTGAGAGATGAGCAGTGAGGGATGGACCACAAAGCTGCAGCCCAGCAGGTGCAGCGTGAACCTGAACAATATGACTTGAAGTTGTTTCATCCCGAGGTGAAGAGGCTGGTAGTCATGTTTCTGTTTGCACAGAGTGCCTGTGGATTGCAACCAAACAGCTATGAGATATTTTTTGCTGTCAGATTCATTAACACCAATCGTAGTTAATTAAAAGTGTTAGCAATGTTGCCCTTGATGCAGCAGCAGCATATGCCTGGCTGTCACACCGTGTATCGAGCGCTCTCAGTAAAATAAGGACCCCACTGCTGTTGCATCACACCTCCCCTCAACGCTGACAATTATTCAAGACACACTGGAGCATATTTTTCAATGTGTTACCTCCAAGGACACTGTTGATTTTTAGTTATTTCATTATAAACTGAAAGACGCATCGTTATTAACTGTTTGACATCAAGCATGTGGAGGCACAACGTGATGAATGTCTGTGTTATGTAGGAAATCAGAGTACGACACTGTGTATGAGATTACATCAGTTCTGTTGTAGGATGGGCTTTACCTAAACCAACAGGCTGGTTGGACAAAACTGAAAGAAAAGGAACAACTGATGCAGCTGAGGAGGAGAAGAGGATGGAGACTGGGATTAGGGAGAGACAATCTTTGGAATTATCCAGGATGAGTCAGATGTTCACATTTATTTTCAGTGAGAAGTTGTGTTCAGTTCTTTTGACCTTGTTGTAAACACTCGTATCCATTGGGCATGAGCTATCACTGGAGGTTTATCAGGATGAAATGATGTGCACGCTAGAATCCTGAAAGTCGCCAGCTTTTATTTCAACTACGAATGGGTGAGGGCGTTGCTTCAGGCAGCCGTGGTGAAGATGAGTGGAGTCGAAAGGCAAAGCTCTTGATTTACTGCTCTGTTTACGTTCCAACCCTCACCTGTGGCCAAGAGGTTTGGATCCTGACTGAAAGACAAACATCCTGGGTACGTGGCCAAAATGGGCTTCCTGCAGGGTGGCTGGGCTCAGCTTTAGAGATAGGATAAGGAGCTCTGTCATCCAGAGGGAGCTCAGAGAGCTGCTGCTCCTCCTCATCAAAATAAGTCAGTTGAGGTGGTTCGGGCACCTCAACTGACACAGGAGGTACCTTAGTATGCCTCCTGGACACCTCCATTTAGAGGGTTTCCAGGCACATTCCACTAGAAGGAGGCCCTGGGGAAGACCCAGAACTCACTGGAGGGATTATTTATCTTCTTTGGCCTGGGAATGCCTCGGGGTCTCACAGGATGAACTGGAAAGGTTTGAGGAGGATGTCAAGGATTTTCTCATGGACCTGTTGCCTCCGTGACCCAACTATGGATAAGTGGTAGAAGATGGAGATGGTGAGAAAACCTCTGTAATGCCACTTTGATATGTGACTTATCCGTGCTGCTGATTATCCATGCTGCTGATCTCTTGCTGCTGTATTTATTCATACCCATCAATACAGATTCATGTTCATGCTGCTGTTAATTATACCATATTGCTGTATTTTTGCTATTTTTTGGTCTAACTGTGCAGCTGTGGCTGAGTGGTTAGAGCTGTCATCCTCCAATGCAAGAGTTGGAGGTTCGAATCCAGCAGCAGTCACATGCCGACGTGTCCCTGGGCAAGAAACTGAACCCCTCATTGGCTCTGATGTGTGTCCCATTGGTGTATGAATGTGAGAAAGCTCTGATTATTCTCTTTAGAATGATTTGTTCAATTAGCTTTGTAGAGATCTATTAGAGTGCTGTATGAATGGGTAAATGAGGCACAGATTGTTGTGTAAAGCGCTTTGAGTATCTCGATAAGATAGAAAGGTGCTATATAAGTACAGTACATTTACCATTTACCCTGAGCACACAATGTCATTCCACCTCATGTACCACATGTGATGCAAATGATAATAAATATACTTGAACTTGAGATGGAGACTCTAGTTTTAAGAAGTGATTGTTTTTTGTTGGTTAACCTAGACCTGGTAATAGTGTGCTGCTAACGCTACTACAAAGGGTCGGCGATGTTCTCGATTGTTTTCCAGCCACCATGTTGCTGTTAATGGTGTGCCTGCTAAAGAAGAAACAAATGATTGATTCTGTATCTGTTTTCGTCATCGCCACAGGTTTTTTTTTTGTGTGGAAAACATTACAACATGTAAACCACAGTGAAGTTACAATTATACTTTCAGAGCTTGTGATCACTCAAAAATAAATAACTTAAGATAAGATAAGATAAGATAAGATAAGATAAGATATAACTTTTTTCATCTAGCAGGAAATCATACTGAGTACACTATCAGGTTAAAAATGGTCAACAATATCCAACAACATAATAAGATATTCCTGCATGCTGTCCAAGCTTGAAGAAACGTTCCGAAATTATTTCAAGGTTTTAGTCATAGAGCTTTATTATTGTAATAAACTGCTGCAAGTGTAGACCTTGTGCGGGAGTGGCTTTTTTTTTCAAGCTATTTCATTCAACCTTTATTTACAGGTTCATCCCATTGAGCCTTGAGGACTCTTTTACAAGAGAGACCTGATTTCAACAAAGAATGATGAAAACAATGGACAACAGTGACAACAATAGATAAATATAAAAAAGCATACAGATTTTTTTTCTTTTTTTACAAATAATATGGCTAAAAAAAGTAACAAAAAACAGCTAGATTATAAGGCCAATGTAGAAACCTTAAAACAGGAACAGGAGTCCAACAGATTCTTAAAGCCATTTAGAGAGGTCAAGGTCGAGAGCGTCAAATCTTTTTTGCTTGTTTTATTTAATTATTTTTTAAACAAAGAACCTCATGTGAGTTTCACATTAAATAATTGTTCTTATTTTTGTAAAATAAAAATAAACGTAAACGTTCCACCATATTTCATAATCATTGGGTAAAATATGTTTAAAACTATTGCATGATATTAAAGCATATACTGGT